GTCCACGCATTCAACTTCCGGTAATCCATGCAAACTCTCCATCCAGTAACGAGCCTCATTGGAACAAGCTCATTTCTTTCATTTGGAACCACAGTCATACCACCTTTTTAGGCACACACTGTACAGGACATACCCAACTACTAACTGCAATGGGATAAATAACTCCCGCATCCAGCCACTTGATCATCTCCTCCGTAGAGCATCATCAAGCTTCCTTGACCAATCCGTTCTATTAGCATTCACAGTCTTCCCCAATATCTGTTTGATCTCTCACTACTAGAATTTTGGTCTACAACAACAGTTTCATATGCGTTGCAATAGGACCTAAGACCGTTGCCTGAGCGCTATAGCAACAATTTTGCAACCGTCTCATCTGGTCGCGTTACTATAGCTCCATTGTAACGGTTAATGTCATGGTTCCTGAAAGCGTTGCTATAGGAACCTCTATTGCAACAGTTTTCCGTCCATCTATAGGCACTATAATATTACAACAATTGTAATGGTTTACAACTGTTGCACTAGGGGTTGTGGTAACTGTTAGCAATCATTGCAATAGAGTATGTTGCAATAGATTGAAATAAGGCAACACATTTTTAAATATTATGGCAACGATTTTAATTGATATTGCAACATTTTTATTTTCTATTGCAATCAATCTATATGAATCTACAGTTTTTCCCAACATGTTGCAATAGCTCAGGCTTGTTGAGCATTATATATATATATATATATATAAATCAACAACAATTTATAAAAAAATACTCTAAATCAAATCACGTAAGAAAACGACTAATTATATATAGCCGATTCACACACACACACACAGATATCTATATATATAGCCGATTCACATATATATACCAAAACACATGTTTTCAATAGTTTGCACAAGTTCCATACTAATAGAAACTAAAACAAAATATTGTAGCTTAACAAAAGTTTCAAAATGTCAAGAAGCAAAAGAGTCGAGCTAAAGCAATAGATTTCTACATCTTTCAATCAATTAGATCAAGTAATAAGGTCTTCATCACTGCTTTCATCATCCCCTTGGTTATCTTCTCCACCTATAAAAGACCAGAAAAATAAAAGTTTATTGAGAGCAAATGTTGAAGAAAGATAGTTCATATTTACGTAATTAAATCATGTCTCTATCTACTCCACATCTGTGTAAGTGAAATAATCAAACATTTAATTTGCTCAATCAACTATGCATAAAGAAAAAAGGTAAAACCAAAAGAGTGGAGGTAAACTTAGCCAAGTATCAATGCAGCTGATATGGAAAGCATGGCTACAATTAGGGAGCAATCTCAATTTATCCTTATCAGAGAATTCACACAAACAAACAGCACAATCAAAGGGCTCTTTAGGACCAACAACCTCTTTGTACAAAAAGACAAGTAATGCATCAATAAATGCTTGATCCAAACCAGAATCATGTAAATGGAATAACTATTATAACTGCCTTTGCAAAGAATCTGAACTAGAAACTTCAAGGTATCCATTAGATTGAGATGCTGCTGAAGAAGAAGGGTGTTTGATAAGAAATCTAACTAGCAAATGGAGCAGACCAGATATGAAAAACAGGACAACTAATATAACTATAATTAAAAGAACAATTGGACTGTTCTTATTTCCAGATGGGGATGAAGAAGATGAGTTTGGTTCCTTGTGAAAAATACAACTTCCACCAAATGAAGGAGGATATGAGGGAAACAGAGGAAGAGAATATGTAAAACACATTCCTGTCCTGTGACCCAACTTCACCAAATGAACAAATAATCTCAAAAATACATTCAAAAAAACACTTTAGTGACAGAGCAAATAACAAGAGATAGTGATAAAACCAAACATAAAATGCAAAAGACAGAATCTTTACATGTCTTGATTCCCACTTAGTCACCATTACACAGAAAAACAATACTTATAACAATCCATTTATATAAAGAATCACTTCTGACTTATCGAGCATATGTAATATGCCAAAAGTGCATTTCTTGCAATCTGAACTTTTTCCTTATATCACGACACATACTTTGAGTATGTTAACAAAGGTTGGTGCATTATATAGTAGCAGAAAATAATCGATATAACCTACAGTTTGGCCAATTACTATTAAGTAACCTTTAGTTAGTCAAACTATTTAACCAGCCTGCCTATTAGTCTTTGACACAAACTTTTTACTATTTTTTTGCCTGCTGCATGTAAACTGCAAGTTGTATCCAGCAACCTGAAATGACTCAGATTAGATTTGTTTTTCTTTTAGTGGGTGCAGGGCTGGTTGGGCGATACAAATGGCTCAAAAATTGGTAATATAGCTTTGTATCAAAAGAGAGACACATTAACAAAACACATTCAAGGGGAATATATAATAAAATAAACATAACATTCAAATATAGCAACACTAGGAGTGTACCAAATAAGTATACCACAATATCTCAAAAAAACAATTTTCAAGGGAAGGAATTTTAACAACAAAACAGGAAGGGACAGAACCTTCAGACTTTATTCAAACCCTTCCAATTCACCATAACTAGTCAAATTCAAGCAATTGAAGTTATAAATCACACGCACACAGCAAGCACACAATTTATAAGTATCCAAAACTTCATCCAGACTCCACTACATATAGGAAAGACAATCCATTTGGCCAAGCTAAAGTCACAGGAATATGCTTGCAAATTATTAGCCAACATGGCTTTTGACACTTCAGGCAGGTTTGAGATTCATGGTTTTCAGATCTGCCAAGTCAAGCGAGGATGATCCTTAATTTAAACTAACAACAAGTTACTAATCTTAGCAAAAGGACCAACAACAGCGTAGATACACAGACAAATTGTCTACAAACTAGCACTTCCAACAACAGTTCATATGTGTCAGCAGTAGGCTAGCCCTTTAGTGCTAAATATTTATCGTTTCCAACAGTCCAACAATTTCACTAACAAATAAGAGCCACAATAATTTCACAATTTAAGATGGCACACTAATGAGAGAACAATGATTCAAAGACTAACGTTTTCACAACCAAAACATTTGGAAAAGGAAAATAAGAGTCCAAGGTTTTGATACTCAAAATAGGGTCCTGATCGAGATAAATCTATACACAAAAAGTGAGTAGAAAACTCAACATTCAACTGGAACATTCAAATCCATTTACAATCAAGTGATCCTCCACCACATTTCTATAATGCCAATAACGATTGATGCATTTTTTGCAAGGGCATAATATTTCATTTCCTTTAGAAGCTCGTTGAAATGCCTTATCAAGAAAATCATTCACTCCACTAATATATTTTTCACTGCATCGTCTGAGACTAATCCAACTTCTATCTAAATTATCCATTGATATCTATGCGACACAAAAAGATAAAAAGAATCAAATTTATGATAAACTATGAAATAAAAAGACAACAATGTTTTACACATGAACAAACATATCTCAAAATGTACATGGAGAATATGTAGTTTAAAACTCATAGCAATCACAATTCAATTTACAACAAGCATTTCATAGTTTTTCTTAATATATGAAACAAATATCAAAGTTCCCTTTATCATTGGAAATATATACAAAACACTGATCTACATGACCTGTCAAGAAATAACTTTAACAAGCTTATCATGGTTTCAAATTTATGTTATTAAAGACTTATGAACATTCAAGAAATGGAAAATGGTCGCTGGATTCAGATGAAGGTTGGTCATATTCTAACACACCAATAAATCGCCTTGAGGATTCAATTCTTTTCAAAAATGTATCCCTACTGATTTTCTTTTTGATAGGAAATCAAGGCAAAACAGTCTTCAAAAGTGATAAAACAGATTTTTAAGGCAAATAATATTGATCTAGAATTTTACAAAGTTTCAGATTTTAATGTCAAAAAGTCTAATACTAACCAGCAATGAATTTTAGTTCTTTTCCATTTTCATGCTAATATATCTCTTGTTTCCTATTGCTCTAATGTAACTCTTCAACAATAATGAAAGTGAAATTTCTCACATCCTAGCTATTCAAGCGAGAGGTGAAAGCAAGGAAGACATCATCAATGCAAGGGTAATCAAAACCGATTGAATAACTCATGGAACAACAAATCCAACATCAATCTCAAGAGAAATATTGTCTAGAATAATCAATTTCACCATAACTACCAACAAAACTTTAAACCCACAATAGTTAAAACTTAATGGGAAAAACCCACAATCAGAAAAAAAAAAAATACATCAAATACAGTAACTACACCTCAACGATTAAATGAAAAAAAAGAGATTCAAGAAGAATACCTTAACAGCTCAAACTTGAAGTTTCTTCAGCTATAACCTCAAAGATGTCAGAACAGAACCTTCAGCTGTTGAAGAAAAAAAATCAAGATTTCTCAGATTTCACAAGCAAACCTTTAGCCCTCTATTTCCTTCGGTTTCACAACAGTTTCTAAACAGAAATGGGTTTACGATTGAAGAAAAAAAATGGTTTAAGTTTGCCCTAAAATTACAGACAAGAAGAACTTACCATAAGATTCAAATCCCTACAAAACCCCATAAGCTTGCCCTGAAATTGTGTTCTTTTTGTTGAAAAATAGGTCCAAGAGAAGATGGTGACAACGTATGGTCTTCTGCTTGTTGAAGAGATGAGAAATGTCTTTAGAAAATGGTTGTATCAATATTCTAATAGAAAGAAAAATAAATTAGATTTAAAAAATTGTTGGCATGGGAAACAATGTTCAATGTTGATGCAACATCTATCAACAATGTTCAATTCTTTTTCCAAAAAGAAAAATCCCTACTGATTTTTTTATATAAGAAATCAAGGCAGAACAGTCTTCAAAAGTGATTTTTAGATTTTTTTTCTTTTAACTAATGCTACAGGCCTACAACAATCATAAAAAGTAAGGAAATCATGGGTCTATGTTGGTCAATTTGCAGGTTTAAACTTAAAAATACAGAACCTGAATCAAGTGCTAGTAACATGGTGGACAACAATGATAGGTCATAAGCTTCAACAACTTTTGAAGGTTATGCCTGCAATAATACTATGGGGAATTTGGAGTAGAAGAAATATCATTAGACACAGGGAAACATGACATATAACAGAGTTGTTTATCAGGTTACTCTAAATGTATGGCAATTTGCAATGACAATTTTTCTAAGTTTGAAACAATTCCCCCACCAACTGGTTAGACATGGTATAATTCTTAGAGGATGACAAGACAAAGATTATTATGAGAGGATCATTGGAAGCCCCCAAATGCAAATAACATCAAGTGTAACACAGATGGTTCAGGTAAAGGTAATCCAGGCAATGGTTCTTATGCTTATTGCCTAAGAGATCAAGAATGTAACCTCATCTATACACAAGCAGAAGAAATATCTGAAAATTATACTACAAGGAAAATGAGAGATGCCTTGGAATATTAGAATTATTGTGGAAGACACTCTAGCTCTCACGAAAGATGCTACAATTAACATTGAGCACATATATAGGGGAAGGGACTTCATTAGCTTACTATCTATCTAATCATGCATTTAAGGTGGAAGGACGACAACAATATAATACATTTCGAGAGTTACCTTCACAGGGGAGGAAAGTTCTCAATTTGGACAAACTGGAAGTACCAAATTTGAGAATCAAGAGCAAGATAATCAAGTGAATAATTATTTTATAATTCATGATCAGATACGAGTACATTTCAAGAAGAAATCAACGAAGGATCAACTATAGAAAAGTCACAACACAGTCTACATTCTATTAAAATAGGAAATAGAACCTAAAATAATGTCAAACAATAGCACTTTTGATAATTAAATGGAGCAAAAAAAAGAGGTACTTCAACAATTAGAAGAAATCAGTAAAGGAGAAAAGAGGAAAATCAAAAGTATGATGATGATATCCAAGAAATTATCTACCCATGAAATTTCACAACAATTATATACATCGATAAATCGGAAAGAATCCAACTGAGAAATGCGAAAAAAGGGGGAACACTAACAAGTTACATCCATGGCTATAGCTCAAGCGACCATGGCAGACTCGGCCGGAGGCAGGAAGTGCTGGCGGGAGTAGATTGTGCAGTGCTCTGGATGGTGATGATTGGCAGAGACAATCACTTTCCGAACCAGTAGCAAATTTTAGTACCAACCAGTAGTAAATTTTAGTTTATTTCATTTTCATGTTAATTTATCTCTTGTTTCCTATTTCTATAACGTAAATCTTCAACAATAACGAAAGTGAATTTTTGACATCCTACTCAAGTGAGAGGTGAAATCAATGACGACATCATCAATACAAGGGTTTTCAAACCCGATTGAATAACTCATGGACAAGAAATACAACATCAATGTCAAGTTAATTATGGTCTAGAGCAGTCAATTTCACCATAACTCCAACAAAACATTAAACCCACGATAGCTATAACTTAATGGGAAAAAACCCACAATCAGAGAAACACATCAAATACACTAACCACACCCAAAGATTAAAGACAAAAGAAGAGATTCAAGAAGAAAAGCTCAAAAGCTCAAACTTGTAGTTTCTTCAGCTATAACCTCAAAGATTGAAGAAGAGAACCTCCAGCAGTTGAAGAAGAAAGCCTCCATTTCCTTAGATTTTACAAGAAAACATACAACCCTCCATTTCATTAGATTTCACAAGAGGTATGAAGAGATAAATGGGTTTAGATTCGAAGAAAAAAATGGTTTTATGTTTGCCCTAAAATGACAGACATGAAGAACTTACAATCAGATTAATATCCTTGCAAAGCTCCACAACTTCTGTGTTCCATCGATATGCTATGTGTTTAGCTTCTGCTAAGCTCCACAGAATTGATGAAAAATCAGGTCAAAGTGAAGAAGAGTGACAACTTTTGTGCTCTGCTTGTTGAAGAGAGGGGAAATGAGCTTAATGTTTGCCTCGTTTGTATCGATATCTGATAAAGAGAAAAGTAAATTGTATTTACAAAATTAATTAAAAATAAAATATAATGAAAAGCTTTTGGCGGGTTCAGCCAAAATAAGAGAGGGAAATTATGGAGGGATTTAATAACCGTTCCAATAGAAAATTGTTCGCATTAAATGTTGCCATAGATGACTTTATGGCAACGATTATCGTAACTGTTGCAATATGTAGGTCTATTGCAACGGTTTTCACACAATGGCAACGGATTTATTATTTAGCCATAGCAACAATATACGGCTCAAACCGTTGCAATAGACCCTCTATAGTAACAGTGTCTTAAGCGTTGCTAAAAAATCCGTTGCCGTAGGCCTAATTTCTAGTAGTGTCTCTGTTGGATACTTCAACTTGACCGCTAGTCTATGGATGGTAAGGAGTGGCTACATTGTGACGGACACCATATTCTCAAGTAGTGCCTTCAAGAACTTATTACAAAAGTGAGAACCTCCATCGCTAATAATAGCCCTCGGTGTACCAAATCTAGAGAAGATATTCTTTTTCAAGAATGCGGTGACACTTTTACCTTCATTGTTGGAGAGCGC